CAAGTCGTCTTCACTGCTGGGGAGGACGGGAACGTCAAGGCCTGGAGACCCAGCTAGTGGTAGGTTAGAAGAATCGGGAAAAAAAAGAAACTTTGTGGAAAAAATAATGTTGTGCTTTTTCATCTGGGTATCATGCTTCCGTTCATCGACCTCGCAAGCGGCCACTCATGATTAGCCATACTTGTCGTGCTTCCCCTTGACCTTCAACTTCAGAAGTTGCTCATGATAATCACCCTCCCTCCTGGCCCTCTTCAGCTTTCTGACTTCGTCGTCCTCGAGCCTGCGCCCGACAGCTTCTTCCAGTTCCTTACGACTGATCTTTTCCTTTGCCTTTTCCTCCTTGCTCGCCTTGATGCGCGGCTTGAACCTCGCCTGCATCCTGATGCGCCATGTGGTGTTGAACGTCGTGGTTTCCTCGTCGCCTCGTACGTCTGATGTCGTAACGTTGGGCTTGGGCGGCTTGACAGACAGGAACGTATCGCGCAACGTCTGAATCTGAAATGTGCCCGGGGTATCGGCCGTAGCGATGATGTTGAACGATTCGAGGGGCGACACGGCCGCCGACGTCGCAGACAACACGCCGTTCTTGTCGCATCCAAGATACCTATACCATCCGTTAGCTACACTCGTCGACAGCTTCAGGGTCGCAAGCGGGCGCTTACTGTCCATGGTGTCCTTTGAACCTGAACTGCTCCGTTCCCGCAATTCTATTCGCAACCCACACCTGTCGCACGTCGTGAGGCTCCGCGCTCGTAGGGTTCCCGTCGACAATGTTCTCGATACCCAGCGTGAAGACCTTGCCGTTGGCATCGCTCGCCAACGCGGCAGGCGGGTCCGTGGGCAGCACGAACATGATGGGCCCAACGACATCCGTCACCGCGTCGGCAGACACCCAGCTGTCGTCGTTATCGGCGTCATCCTCCGGTGCAGCAGCGGAGGCGGCGCCGGCGCGGACGACGTCCCCGGCAGGCGCATCTCGGTCGTGGGCCTCCGCCTCGGTCCGCTTTCTCTTCTTGGGCTTCTTCTCGCCCTTGAAGGATAGGGGCTTGACCATTGCCTAGGCGCCTCGTCCTTTTCGTCTCCGTCGCGTTCTCGTGAGTCGATTGAGGTCTCGATAGGGAAGGTGAGTGTGAGATTGTCGCGGTTGTAGCCGGTGTCCGGCGGTTTCCGACCTGGTGTTGGTTGCAACCTTCAAGATATAAACTGGCGATAGGAGCTTCAGCGCACTGGCGTTAAGGCACGGAAGGTTTGGATTACGTAAGGCCAAAACAGCTGCCCCTCCCCCACATCAGATCACACTCCCCAGAAGGTCACTGGGTCCGTTGTAGGTAGATGCAGCCACGATCTGATTACTTTTCTGTGAAATTCATTCGTCGTTGAGAAATTCTTCCAGCTTTGCACCCCAGAGAGTCAAGATGTCTTCAATCGCGCAACCGGTCACTGTATCGCTGAACGATCTCAAGGAGGGTGAGTCGCTTGCTGTTCAGCGTAGCAACTGCAACTTACATGTGATGATCTTGTTCTAGGTAACATCCCCTTTGAGACTTTACAGAAAGCATTCGGCCCCGATTCTTTGGGCATTTTGGTTGTCAAGGATGTGCCAACCGAGTTTGCTCATCTGAGGCATCAAACGTTGTCTTATGCCTCTTACCTTGGCAACTTGCCTGAACAAGAGTTGGGTACGACAGTGGGACCCCACATGCGCTGTACACATCGCTTACACTGAAGTAGCCAAAATTGAGAATGTCAAGGCCAAATACCTGACGGGCTGGTCTCTTGGCAAGGAGACTCTCAAGGACGGCCAGGTAGACACCTTCAAGGGCTCGTACTACGCAAACTGCGCATTCTACGTCGACGCCACTCTCAATTGTGCGAAGCCCACGGCGGAGTTCAACGAAGACAACTTCCCTGAGTACCTGTCGCCCAACGTCTGGCCATCCCAGGACGTCCTCCCCGGGTTCAAGCCGAGTCTCGAAAGCCTATGCAAAGTTATCATCGACACAGCCGTCCTCGTCGCGCGGGCCTGCGACAGGTTCGCCGAGACGGAGATCCAGGGCTACCCGAAGGGATACCTTGAGCACGTCGTCAGCACTTCTACGACCACCAAGGCACGCCTGCTGCACTACTACCCGCAGACTCAGGCAGACCTGGACAAGATTGGTGCCAACGATGATTCCTGGTGCGCCGAGCACCTGGATCACGGCTGTCTCACGGGCTTGACATCCGCCATGTTCATCGACGAGAAGGAGACCTCGCCAGCGGTGCCGGAAGTCAGCAACAGCACGTCAGCCAGCTTGCCCCCGTTGGCAGAGCTGCCAGCGTCGCCCGATCCGACGGCTGGCCTCTACATCCGCTCTCGCAGTGGGGAGACGGTGCAGGTCAAGATCCCGCGTGACGGCATTGCCTTCCAGACGGGCGAGACGCTGGAGCGCATTACTGGTGGCAAGTTCAAGGCGGTGCCGCACTTTGTGAGAGGCGTCAAGGCGTCCGTCAGCGATGGTCGTGTTGCGCGCAACACGCTGGCGGTCTTCACTCAGCCTAACCTGGGCGAGGAGGTTGACATGGAGCAGCACATCAACTTTGGCGAGTTTGCCCGCGGCATTGTGGCTAAGAACACGGTGTCATGAGTGTTGTAGTATGTAATCATAAGCCTGAACAAAATAATGATGAGCAATTTATCACTAGTCGATGGCCGAACGGGTGAAGATGTGAAGATGGAGAGTTGAATCCGCAGCCGAGTTGCCCAAAGGGATAACATTTTCAGTGGACACAGGCGGGCCGATGGGATAGTGCACCGGTCCCCAGTCGCTGCTATAAGCTGGGCGATAACAAGAAGAGACGATATCGATCTACTTGCTTGTAAATCCGTTTACTGTCGTGAAATGTTTAGAATTAGCACATTGGCCTGACATCAAGGTCGAGTCCTCCGGGTTCTCATAGAAGCACCACAATCTAATCGGTTGCCGTCACCTTGAGAGTTAGAAGAAACATATTCAAGTGTTACTCAACAGCGCTGGGACCACGCTGGTTTTTTCCCCTCTTCTTACACAATGTAAACGGGTGACACTTGTTCGACACTGCGCAAAGCGTGAGGCTCGGCCGCATGCGCTTGGTAGATCGTGCGGTAGGTCGTCTTCACCGATGATCCGCTGGTTCACCGAGGACGTCTGCAGCTTGCCGCGTGCGTGGAGAAAAGCTCATCAGTGATGAGACAGCGCGGCTTCAAGCCGGCCTCTGAGCCAACGGCTCTAGGGGTTCGGCGTCAAAAGCAAGGCATAATGTCGTCTGAGATGATAACTCCATGGCATCCGTTAAAGCGACAAGGGCGCTAGTTTAGGAAATAATCATCCGGCAGGCCCGGGGATCGGCGTCGGGCCGTATCTCAAAGTCGGACCTCAAGATGCCCCGACCCATGGCTCCAGACCTCGGGTGCCGTCTATAATTCCAAATTTTTTTTGTGACATTCCGTGATGCCCTTGCACGACCGAGGCAGGCCACCGAGTCTGGCCAATTGCGTGATATGGTCGTCAAAACTGCTCAGTAAGCAGTCTGTCGTGATCGGATTGCATCATGATTCGCAAATTGCCAGAACAAAGCTCCCTCCGCCGTATCGCTACCTACCTGTAGAAGCTACCCCGCCCCCGCCAGCTCCAATTGGGCCGTTTGTCAGGCGTCATCACCCTCTGATTTGAAAACAGCTTCCCGCTGCTCAGAAGCTCCATGAAGCTCTCCTCGCACGTCATATTAAACCTGAGCCGGCGCCCAGCAGCTGTCATTAGAAACCATTCCACCATATCACCACTCTCTCAAAGCGCAGCATCAAAAACACACCGTCACTTCACCACATCGTCCCCCAAGATGGCCGTCCCACCAAAGTTCGCCGCCCACAAGCTGGCCTTCTCCCCCGCCAAACCCGCCGCGGAGGGCGTCGCCGCGCAGCCGCACACCATCGAGCTCTACCTCGACTACGTCTGCCCCTTCTCGGCCAAGCAGTTCGCCACCTTCTACAACCAGGTCGTGCCCGCCATCCGCGCGAACCCGGCCTGGGCCTCCAACGTCGAGGTCGTCTTCCGCCAGCAGGTGCAGCCCTGGCACCCCTCGAGCACGCTCGTGCACGAGTCCGCCGTCGCCGTGGTCAAGGTCGCCCCGGCCAAGTTCTGGGCCTACAGCGACGCCCTGTTCAAGGCGCAGAAGGACTACTTCGACGTCAACGTCGTCAACGAGCCGCGCAACGAGACGTACAAGCGCCTCGCCAAGCTGGCGGCCTCCGTGGGCGTCGACGAGAAGAAGGTGTACGACCTGCTGGTCATCTCGGACAAGCCCGCGGAAGACGGCTCGCTCAACAGCGGCAACGGCGTGACCAACGACTTCAAGGTGCTCATCAAGCTGGCGCGGTTGACGGGCGTGCACGTCAGCCCGACGGTGCTATTCGACGGGTACCCCAACAACGAGATCAGCTCGAGCTGGACCCTGGACCAGTGGAAGGAGTGGCTGCAGAAGAACATTGTCTGACTTGATGGTAGACGTGCTTCGACCAGGGAGCTTCGGCTGTGAGCTACGGATGCCGGTGGTCATTGCTCAAGCTTGTGACGAAGAGAGAGCCCTATGAGACATTCAACTCGATTGAACCACCAGCAACTTTTAATGAATCACATTACAAAAGAAACACAGCTAAATCATGAAAAATTACTGGATTTGTTGAATAATGGGTGATTGTGAAACTTAGCCCAGTTCGGACCATGGCAACCGGATAACCAAGTCGCGCGCGTCGCGTTTTCCCATTCTCCCCCAGAAGGGTAAAAAAAGAAAAGGCCAAAGCAGGGCGCAGTGACCTCATCCGACGTAGCTCACCTCATCCAATCTTCAACCTCATCTCACAACTCCTCCATCCCTACCTTCCTTCACTCAACCCTCCGAGGCATCCTCACCATGTCTCTCCTCAGACTCACTCTCACACGGCCGTCCGCGCCAACAACTCACTTCCTCTCCGCCCTGCGGTCATGTCCGCTCCGCCCGCAGCTCCTCCGAAAATCTCTGCCGCCGCACAGTCTAAGACGGCCCTTCGCCTCCTCCGCGCCGCCGCCCAGAAGCCACGGGTCCGGGACCGCCGCGACCACTCCTACCGCATCAAAACCGGCGACGGCCAGCTCCGGATCTACCCGTGAGTCGTCATAAGAGCCCGCACACCCCGCGCACGGAAAGCTAACATGAGGCACTCGTAGCACAACTGCTTCCTGAAAGACTGCTCGTCTACCAGGCCGGCACGGGCAGGATAGGATTCGTGGCCGGTCTCAAGATCACCACCATCTTCGTGGCCGCCGTCTTCGCTCTCGTCTGGGAGCCCGCTATGCTGCGCAGTGACGACGTGTCCGCAGCTCAGATCACCGCGGCATGCAAGTCTCCCTCTCCTCCCCTCCCGCCCATCACATCGGCTTTCTCCCTCGCCGTATCTACTCCCATCTCACGCCCCTACACGCCGGCAAACTGCCAGACTCACTCATACAAGAGAACATCCAAACTAACACCTTGACCAGCCACCTGCGCCCTCATCCCCTTCGCCTACGTAGCCTACTTCTCCGGCCCCTTCGTCACCCACGTCTTCCTCCGCCTGCCCCCCGCCGCCCGCTCCTCCCGCGCCCTCCTCGAGCGCTACGTCCGCGCCCTCCCGGCCACCGCCCAGCTCGAGGTCGGCACGCTGGGCCTCGCCGGCCGCCCGCGCGCCACCCTCGTCAGCGCAGCCGACCTCCGCCCCGTCCCCGCGGACGCCGGCTTCCGCGAGACCCGCGCGCGCCTCGTCACCCACACCCGCGACGTCGCGGGCCTCATGGCGCGCAAGAAGTGGTACCACTACCGCCCCGTCAGCCTGTTCGGGTTGCCCGCGAAGGAGGCCGGGAGAGCCAGCAAGTCGTCGGGCTACAGGAACGCCGCCAAGGACGCGTGGGTGTACGACATCATCCGCCCGATGTTGGGTAAGCGCAGGTGAGAGTGGAAGCAGAAGCAGCACCACGGGATATCCGGGGGCCCTCTACGAGGAGGAGAAGGAGGGAGGAAGAACATGGGGTTACGACAGCACCAATGTACTCGCGGCCATGCATACGCAATTCGTCCACGATGTCTACCTATACTCAGACACAGAGAGGGAGAAACAATATCATTTCTCAGCTGTATTATTACCAACAACCAAAAACAAACCAGATACCCCCACCCCCAACCACAACCACAACCACAACCACGGCTAGTAAGTCGCCCAGTATCCAATATCGCCACGGTCCAATGTTCGTTTCGCGAACGGACGCAGCTGTCAAACCTTTCGGGGGTCTATTCTCGGTACCGAGGCCTTGTGCTCATCCGCTTACGCCTCGCCTCGCCTCTCGATTCAGTACCTTGCCTTAGGAGAACGGTGGTTGTCGCTGGCGGGGCGGCGTGGAACCCATGACTTGTTCACACCTTTCAGCCCTCTTTTTGCCGCTCGTTATCGCTGCTGCTGGCTGCCAGCCGGCCCGTCCCCTGCTCGACTGACTTGCGCAACCGCGTGTAGAGCGCAGCGCAGCGCAACCTGACTCCTTCAGCCCCATGCGTCCACAGCCGCCACCCGCGCCTCGCCCACATTACATTATGTAGTACATATATACTATACGGCGTAGCAACGAAAGGGGATCTGTTTCCTACGTGGGAGTACCCTTGGTTGTAGTATAGTCGCACTTGCGTCATGGGGATAAGGTAGTAATACGATATATAGCCTGGTAGGATTGCCTCCGGCGGTTGCCGCGTCCCTCCGCCCGAGGAAAAACCCCGTCTGATCCCGCAACATGTCCATCCCATCACACGGACATCGCCCGAAACCAAGGCGGCCCTCCCGGACCCTCCGCCCCGGCGCGCGGGAAGAGTCGGTACCTAGGGCGGTCCAAGAAAAAGAAAAGGGGGAGAAAAAAAAAAAAAAAAAAAAAAAAAAGGAGCGTGCGCGCGCGGGGTTGGTTCAGAACTTCAGTCACATCAGAGCGAGTGAGGGAGGGGGCGTGGTGGTGGTTTGTGCATGTCGTTGGAACTTTCGTCGCTCGAAACATGCGCCTGCGATGAAGCACGTCGGCCACACCGGGTTTTGAAGTTGAAGCGGGGGGACGCCGTCACCGTTCCTCCATAGATCCGACGAAATTCCAGAAGGGTATTTAGCAAAGATGGAAGCTGGCTGCATGGTTATCTTGGCGCAGGAGGATGGCTGCTGGGAAAGGTCCTGCAAGTCGGGTCGCGGTGCTTGCGGCGTTTACGCACACTCTATCGGCGGTATGGGAACCCGGTCTGACGTCGCATCCAGAGCGATGTGTGCCGTGCCACGCACTTACTACGGATATGCAGTACGCACCCCGATGAAGAGAGAGAGAGAGAGAGAGCATTCCAGAGCCCATGCCGCCATGCGCAACCCCAAACTCTAAACTCACAACCATCACCTGTACACTAAGTAAAGTATCGCAGTACGTAGTCAAGTAGTGCTCTAAGTACTGCGTAGAAACGACAGCCCCAACGGCAGTGCTTCTCACCTGGACCCTGGCGCCTCGAAACATCGAGACAAGACACCCATGCCCAACTTTGAACAGATTCATCCCGATGCGTCCGCCCACCGTCTTCCGATTGAAGCACTTCTCTGGCATGCTTTTCTCTCGCCGCTCATGCTTTCTAATTCCCCCCACATCCTTGCCAGCGAAAAGGGTGAAGGAGAGGGGTCTAGAACCGGCCGTTACCAAGGAGCTGCAACAAGCTTCTGGCTGCGTGCCTGCTGCTGCAAGTACATCCACACATACGGCATTACAGCATGCGCAATACGTAGGTGGTTACCAACAAGTAGGGCCCTTTGCTACCCTAAGGGTCCCATTCGGGTCCCCTCCCTGACGCATCCCGCACCTTTCAGTAGAAGGGGGGGTGCTGAGCTTTGGTACCTGGCGTCGGCTTGGGAGCTGCTGCACACGTTAATTGCCGTCACACTCTTTACGCTGCAGTTGATTCAACAGCTCGTTTATGCCTTTCCGAAAAAACCGACATCCGATTCCCGGCTTCCGCGCCGCAAACCCCTGCCTGCGTCTGTCTCCGCCCACGGCGCTGCCACGGCGCCTTGCCGACAGGTCGGTCGGCCCATTCTGTCTGTCGTTGGTCGACTTTCGCCTGCGTCCTCGTTCGGCGTCTCCTTGTCAAACCAGTCCTGATAGAGAACACCCGAGAGAAACTCCCCGCCGCCATGGCATGGGGAGGCAAATAAGTTTACAGAGCAGTTAGCCTGCCGCCGGCCGACGTATGCATCCCGGCCACCAACGTTCCCCCCAGCCGGAAAATGAAAGTTTGCCTTTTGCGAGACACGACGGGGTCCCGGGGTGACGGAGAGAAGGAGAATCGAAAGAGCCTGTGCGAGAGAGAGAGTGTGTCTCCGCGCGCGCGCTGAAGTTGAGACCATCTGTAGTTAATGCAAACCCTACCTTGGTCCTAAGATTTTTGCGGCTGAATTGAACGAACCCTGGAAATCTTGTTGCCAACTTCAGATGCCCTGGCCAATTGACACTTCTACTTGCCTGACTTTGCGACCGCTTTAGGGACTTCCCGGTTGGAATCTGGTAGTGCTCGATGGTCCCCTTTTCAATTTCATCCCTCTTGAGCTGGCTGCTGTTGGTTTGGCCCCAAACCCCCCATGTGAATGAGCAGAGGCAATCAAATCACCGCATGTTTGCCTGTCCTGACTTGCTTCGCCACCCATCGGGGACCTCGTGGGGGTTCCTTTGTCGTCACGTCGTGTCTTGTCATCTGCCGGGAGAAAAAGAAGAATAATGCGCGCGAAAAAGGTGGTATCATATCCGTATTGACCGGCCCAATCAACGCAAGTATCGAAGCATCCTCATTGCCCCCCTTCTTCCCCCATCCCCATCGTACAGGTACTTTTTTTGTGGTCGGGTCTCACGAGGCAGCTGGTAAACAGAACAAAGAGACGCTCCTCTCATTCGTAATGCCCACTGTGTGCGCTGTCCGTACGCCGCCGACCCTGCCTGAGCCGCTTCGTCGGCCCCGTTTTGAGGAAACATGCCAAATAATAATACATTCCTGAATGCAGGCCAGGACACCGCCTGGACCTGACTTTTCCTTCCATGTGCCGTCCGAGAACGCCCACTGAAAACACCCACCCCCCCTTCTTCAGTTGGAACCATGCTTGTCCAGGGCCAGAATGATGACGCCCACGCGTGCGCTACATGGACCTCCACGTGCGTTGTATTTTTTTTTCGGGCCTCCTCGTGTTCGTCGTAATCGTGTACATATATTCGTCGCGAAAATAAACCGTGAATGTGGTGTGAAGTTGTGGACCATGAGAACCGAATGTCGAAAAATATGTACGGGTGAATCGTTCGGGGGCCGAAGGGGAAGGCAGCTGATGAGAAGGTTCGCATCGATGTTCTTCCCAAATGTTTCCCAGAAGAAAAAAAAAAAAAGGATATGCTGTAGAAACCGATAATTGTCGTCGCCGCTTTTATACCAACTTTGAAACTTGATGCAAATACTTTCGCCAGCAAGGACGTCGGAGATCCGTCCCGTGGAGTCAAAATATGTCAAAACGATTTCAACGCCGTTTCATCATCGGACCACTGTTGCCGTCGTAGTCCCAGGCCCGCTTGAAGCCGCCCTCGTAGACACTCGCCACGGACTCTTGCCACATAGCAGGCGAGATGAAAGACTGGACTGGCGCAGCCGTATACTGCGGCGCCATCTGCTGAGAGGCCACGGGGAGAGTGGCATTAACTGCCTGTATGTCTTGAAGAGACGGGGCTTCGGGTGCACCTGAAGACGGAGAAACACTAAGCGAATTGGACTGGGGAGGCAGCGTCGAAGGCTGTGGTTGGACCTGAGGCGTACCGAAAGACGTGTTCCATTGCCTGGAGGACTGTTAGTGATCACTGCGCAGCTGTCTGACGGGATTGCGTTTCTGTGGCTTACTCAAAAATCTTCGCCGGGTTCCAAGCTGGCGCACTCGCCAGCGGCATGGTCTGAGGCATCCCCGGTGCTTGGGATCCTTGGTTCGCCATCATTACGAGTGACTGTATAGCAGGCGAGTCACTCTTGGTATCCACAGGTCCGGCAGAGATAGGAGGTGTGATGGGGTGGCTGGTATAACTGACTTGGGAGTGTTGAAGGTTTTGCGTGTCCAACTGATGGTCCAGAGAGCCAGTGCGAGCCATACCCGGTCTGTAACCACGAGGAGGGCTAGAATGGTTGGAGGACTGCGGGCTGCCGTAGGGGAAGCTAGGCTTGAGCACAAATTGTTTCCTGGTGTCAGCAGAGAACGCCTCTCTCAACGCGTCGACCTGCTTCTGGAGGTCCTGCATCGGCCACACACTCATGACCTTCTCGAGGACACGCATGTGGCGCGTGAAGTATTCGCGAGCATCAGTGTTCAGATCCGGATCCGGCGAGACGACGGCCACCTATATTCCACCGTGTCAGAGCGTCAACCTACAAGATATTCATCGACAATCACCCACCAGATGGAGAACAATGCAGCACAATCCGCAGTAGACAGTGAAACTGAAACCACGGAGCATGCATTGCAACCCAGAGAATCCAAAGTTGTTCAGTACTGCCTCCTGAAGTCGACACAGAGCCTTGGCAGCTGAATAGCAGATCATCATGTGCTGTTTCCATTGCCCGTCGGTTGAGTTGGGATCAAGGAAGTTCAGCTGCGGTCGGTGGAGCAGGATGAGTGTCAAATAGTAGTACGAATGCAGATTGCCAATGTAAGGCGACGAGAGCCACGGAGGCGATCCATCCGGGGGGAAGGTCACCGATAGGTCCGCCGGGAGATCGCTCATCCAAGACTGCAGAGCTGGGTTGAGCTGCACAAACTCGGGGTCGACACCCCAGTCCTTCGTCTTCTTCTTCTTAAGGCGGCCGTAAGTGCTGTTCATGCGGCTAACGTTGCGGACGACTCGTGCGAAGTACGTGAAGTTCCGGGTGATG